CCTCCTCCTCCTCCTCCTCCTCCTCCTCCTCCTCCTCCTCCTCCTCCTCCTCCTCCTCCTCCTCCTCCTCCTCCTCCTCCAATTGCCCGCATCCGTTTGCATTCAGTCGCATGAAACTTCCAGTCACTTCGCTGGTGATCAGCACAGCAGTAGCAAGCTGTTTTACAGCTCGAGCAGCGCTTCAGGTTGTCACTCCCCTTGAGACAGAACAGGCAGAAGCTCATGGGCGCGTGCTGCCTCCTCCTCACCCAGCCGTCGGGACATGGAGAAAGAGCCATGGCCTCCTGCGAGAGGACGAGAGATCCAGCATGGAAGCGCTTCTTTGCCAGCAGACATCTGCCTTTGATCGGATCGACAACAATGGAGATTCCCATCGATGACAGCCTTTCCTTCATCTCGTCGCTGACATCCTTCCAATCCTCTACTGCTTTGCCTTGCTTTTCTGTGCTTGTAAACTCTGGACCAGCTTCTTCTTGCCTTCCTTTGACCGCTTGATCCTGCTCCACCTTCGCCACCTTCCCTCCGACATCGGGGTCTTGCTGCTCCAAGCTCAACTCATCAACTCTGACGGTGTCTGACTCCGAGTGTTCTGTCTTTCCTGCTCCTGCTGCTGCTTCTGCTGCTCCTGCTCCTGCTGCTCCTGCTGCTGCTGCTCCTGCTCCTGCTGCTCCACCGTCAGCCTGACGGTTCTCCCACCATGCAAAGCCCGACATGACTTTCGCGAGGACCTCGCACGGGCTAGCGAACGAGGAAAGTAGGGGGTAGGGGTAACGAATGTAGGGGTGATAATCATATAAATATAGGGGATGAAGGATGGTAGTCCCAACCATAATGTGGGTAGGGGTGATTCAAATGAGGGGTAGTTGTTTTGTTGTCGGGGAACTTTCCATGGTCACCGGGCCCTGGGCCCTGGGCCCGGGGCCCGGCCCCGAGAGTCGGACGCCATGATCGGATGATCGGCCGGGCACCGCCGCAGTCACCGTGCCACCGTGAGTGGGCCCGGCCCTCGGAGTCGGCCAGGGGTGACCGCGCGCGTCCCGCTGGGCCCGGATGCTAAGCACACTGAACGCGGGGCGGTCCCCGGGCCTGGCCGGCTGAGTTCTGCCAGCCCCGGGGGGCCCAGCTGCCGGGCGGCCCGGCCGCCACTATCGGTACTCACAGTTTTACTGAGAAGGTATCAGTTAAGTTTGGGGGACAGCAGTCGGCAGGATTGGGTTTGGTTCTCGCTGTCTTTTCTCTTCTCGCCGTTTGGCCTGTGCGACAGTGTCAGGGTCAAGCCTCCTCGACTGACTCTCCTGATTGTCCTCGTACTGATTTTTAACTTAACTTTGAGTAAAGAGATGGGTTTCTTTACTCAAAGTTAAGTCTACGGAATCAGTACGAGGACACCGAGTCTCAGGAGGTAGAGGACAGTAACCGAGCAGTTATCGGGGGGGTAGGGTCATGCCGGTTTCGGTCGGAGTCCTAGCTAGGGCGGCGGTGCTACGCCGATGATGGTTGATGCTCAGTCGGAAGAATAGAAGGCCCCGGGAAGAATGAGGGAGGGAGGGAGAGAGGGGAGGGAGGGAGAAGAGGAGAGGGGAGAGGGAGAGGGAGAGGGAGAGGGAGAGGGAGAGGGAGAGGGAGAGGGAGTGAGGAAGAGAAATTGAGAGAGAGATAGATGGATGGATGGATGGAGGGGTGGAGGGAGGGAGGACGAGAGAGGGAGAGATGAAAACGAGGGAAAGGAAGGTGGGAGGGAGGGAGGGAGCAAAGGAGGGTACCAAGTGGAGGAGATGATGGTGTCGGTGGTGGTGGCACTGACATACAGTAGCGAGGTTGGAATGAGATGAAGAGGGCAGGAGGAAAATGAATGCAGGAAGGAGTTAGAGACAACCAGAGACGAAACGTCACGATCACTGACAGGGCAGATCGATAGATGAAATCTTGACACTTGCTCTTGTTTTATCTGACAGCAAGACAGTCGCCCTCTTGGATCATCGGCAAGACATCCTCTCCTTGACTGCTACGAGCTCTGCCGCCATGGGCACCGCAGACGTTGCCGACAGCAGCAGCTTCGAGTTCGAGATGTCCTTCCTGGACTACGAGGACTTCGACGTCGCCAACGAGGCCAGCATCTGCAACCTCAGCCCCTTCAGCGTCGGCCGCTCTCCTTCCTCCAGCATGGCCCTTGACCACTCTGCAAGGGCGGCGGGGCCGGCGGAGGAAGACAGGGAGAGCGAGATGGGAGACATCATCGTCCAGCTGGAGATGTCGGAGAGCGCGGTCGTCCGATGCCTCCAGCGCATGTTCGGGAGGCTGACGGCCATGCGAAGCAGCTACGGAGCTCTACATTGCCAGTGCGAGGCGATGATGAAGAGGCTGCAGGATGTGAACGTCAAGCTGGAGGAGGAGAGAGAGGAGAAGCGGCTCCTCCTGTACGAGCTGAGCAAGGCTTTGCAGCAGCAGAGCGTGAGGGAGCCCAAGGATGAGGAGAGACAGTCGGCGAGCAGGGATCAGAGCAGGGGCTCGCATGCCAGCGATGCCGCTCCTGATCACGCGGCTGGTCGTGAGGCATGTTGAAGTCTAACTTCGCTCACTGGGATGATAGACCGGAGAGATGCGACGGAAAGAAGCTCGTGGAGCATCAGGCCCGGGGGAGGTGAGCGCACTGTCCTGATGAGATTGAGAAATAGCGAATCAGGAGGAGCAGGAGCAGGAGCAGGAGCAGGAGCAGGAGCAGGAGCAGGAGCAGGAGCACTGCTTTTCTGACTTGCAACGGCAGTGTGCAGCCCAAACAACAAGAGCTCTTCACATCACGACAGTCCAGCAGAAGTCCTCGCTCGCGTTCGACAACAGGTGAGATAAGAACTTTTTCACATCTGCTGTCTTGTCTTGTCTTGTCTTGCCTTGCCTTCTCATATCAGCTCAGCAATGTTCTCAACTCATGAACGACATCAACGTCCTACGTACGAGCCTTCAGGAAAGCAACAGCGAACGAAACAGTCTGAGGCAGGAGGTGGCAAGGCTGGAGAAGGAGTGTCAGCTCCTGCGTGAGGATCGGAGGATGACGAAGCAGCGGATGCTCGCAGACGCAGTCAATCTCTCCCTCTCCCCTTCAGCCCAGCTCAGAGGTGATGCCTCGGGCCAACAGCAAGGCTCGTCTCCGTCCACGACTCTGGAGAGCTGGCGGAGGAGCTTGTACCAGTGCCGCTGGCGGCTGCTGTCGTCGGGCTGCCTGCGAGAGGTGAAGGCGGATGACTCCTCGACTCTCCTGATATGGTTGCGCAGCTGCTGCGGAAGTCAGCCAAGACTCTCTTCGTCCTCCTCCTCCAGTCAACGCCCCCTCAGAGAAAGAAGAAGCCGAAGAAGAAGGGGAGGGGGAGGGGAGGCGGGGGAGAGAGGAGTGGGGAGGAGGCGGAAGCGAGGAGGAGGCAAGAGGGAGGGGCTCATTCATCGACTTTAACAAGGTTCAAGTAAGAATATCAAGCTGACAGCTTTCCTCAGATAGCTGCCTGCACTTCTACAATTTTCTTTCACTTTACAACTTTCTGATCTCTGGCTCATCACACCCCGAACCATCCGCAGGAGATGCGGTGTTGGACCTGCAAACATCGCCGTCAACCCTCTGCTCCTCCTCTCCGCACGATCGCGTACCCAGTCCCTCTTCTGACACGCCCGGTTGCAGCTAGGCACAGGGTTACAACAGCACAAGAAAGCGGCAGAAGCAGGGGAGAGAAAGGGGGAGGGGGCAGGGAGGGAGGAGGAGGAGAAAGGAAAAGGAAGGGGAAGGAGAGGCAGATGAAGGAAGAAGACAAGACGAAGAAGCAAGCGTCTCACTATCTTCTCTTCTTCAGCAAAGTCGCACACCCTGCACACTGCTTGAACTCGCAGAGGAGCTACAAACTCGTCACAGATACATCCTCCTCCTCGTTTCTGCTGCTCTCACCGTGTACATCCCACACTGTTCGTAGCTGCATTCACGAGCTTTGCAGAAGAAGTTCCGAGGCCTCTGCGGTGACGACGTGAGTGGGAATGTTGTACGATGAGCACGACGAATGGAAATGAAAGAGGGAGGAAAGGGCAGGGATCGTCGATGAGTGGATGAAGCAGAGAGGAAGGAGAGGAAACCTGTGCTTCTTTGATCATCTTGTTGCCGGTGCAGAGGCGCCAACTTCGGTACTCAGCTTCCTCTTGCGTCAGCTGACTCTCGACCTCCTGCAGACTGCCACCATGTCGGGTCAGGATTGCAGTAGCCAAGGTGGAGAGGCAGAGCTCAACAGGAGTCAAGTTTGCAACACAGACAGATACTGAGCACAGCCTTCTTGCAACATCCACAATATGATCGACTTCTTCACATGCAGGTTGAAACATGTTGATGACTACCTGCTCAGGCGGTAATCCGGATCGACGATCAGTTTGGCCTCGAGGTGTCCCAACTCTGCAGCAGATTGCTGCAACATCCAACAATCAATAAACATCGCTGTTCTTCCCTTGCCGCAATATCCCGGCCGTCCTCATCCTGCCGCCCTTCCTCCTCCCATCCTCCTCTGCCTTACCCAGAGCTCCATCGCTCTCTCCTCCGCTTGCGCAAGCTCTGCTCCGACAACCTCTCCCCCGTTCACTTTGCATCGGAGCTTCTGGTCTGTCCCTCCGAACGCCAGCATGCCCAGGTGGTACATCGCCTGCGCAAGTCGTCAGCGAGCTCTGCATGGCCCTCCTGCAGCCGCTCACGTTCCCGTGCCCTTCATCGGCTGCAGACCAAAGAAGTCGCATCCCCTCCTCAAATGTCTCGAGGATCTGCCGATCTTGCAGGCTGCTCGTCCGACCTGTTGGAAAATTTAAGGCGGAGGAGGAGGAGGAGGAGGAGGAGGAGGAGGAGGAGGAGGAGGAGGAGAGGAGGAGGAGGAGGACAAACTCACTCTCATCGCATAGCAGAGCAAACGTCTTCTGACGAGAGAGATAGAGCCCCAGCAAGAACTTAGCCCCTACGTTCCCCGCAGCCGCCAGCCTCCTGAGGACTTGCTCGATCCTGGGGTCGGGTAGGGTGCTGGAGGACGAGAAGGGGGAGAGCTGGTCCTCTTCTCCTGCTTCCTCCTTCTTGCAGCACGGTCGGAACAGTGGGAGGCCAACTAGGCTGACTCTCCTCAGCACCGTCAGGCTCTTGCAAGCCGAGTTCCACTTTCTGCACCTGAGGGCAACAAGAGGACGGGTAACGTCAGCAGCAGGACCGCAGGAGAGGGGCACGCACGTGTTGGAGCAGAGCCAGAAGACGAAGTGAGCACAGGAGCGGTTGTCCTCGTCCTCCTCCTCTGATGTGAGCAAGGGGCTTCGTCCCTCCAGCTTGATCATCAGCTCTGGCAAGACAAGCAGGGACAACACCCGTCAGCCCGAGGGAAAGCGAGGGCAGGCGCTTACGTATGAAGATTGACTCTAAGATCTCCGCTGGCATCTTGGTCATTGTCAGGGCATTGCTAGCATGCTGCTGCTGCTGCTGCTGCTGCTGCTGCTGCTGCTGCTGAGGATGACTCCTTTCCGCGGAGCGGCCCCCGCAGCGTCGCTTGTTGTTTGTACCGCTGCATGCGCCATTCTGTATCCAACCGTTCTGCTCCAGGCTCAGCAAGTTGTCTTGGTTGATGGCTCTGACAATCGTGCAGATCCTGGTAGCGCTCATCCCTCCTTCCCCTTCTTCAGGCAAGTAACATGGTTCCGAACTGCAACTTGCACGTCAGCCCCTGGCCCCTCGCAACCCCAAAGAGCAGAGTGATGACTCTCAGATCTCCCTGGGGTCAGGTCGCTAGCGGGATACACCCACCATCTCTACAGTGTTGACATGACGACATCGTCATCAATCTACAGCTGCAGACAACAAATTTCCATACACCCTACCCGCACCTTCTATGCAGAAACAATTATTGGAGCTAGCTGTACAACATCAACACTTGGCCTTCTGGAATGATACACAACGTTGCATTTGGATCTTCCAACTGTAATCGACATCTCTCTCCTTTTCCTGCCTCAGCCTACCGCACTATAGCACCTCTTCCATCGATCCGACCTCCAACAAAACGGGCGCCTACCTTTTCAGTGGACAAACCCTTCCAATGATGAATCTGCATTTCTCTCGCAACGTTCTTGTGTTCCCTTCCTCCATCTGCTACTTTGTACTGCACCATTCTCAACGTTTCGCCCCGCCTTCCCTCCTGAAGTCCCGCATTTCTATATCTTGTCATTACTTTTCGAGTCGTCAATTTTTCTCCTCCCTGTCCTCTGGCCTCGTTCTTATCTGCTTGTTCACTCTACACTGCGCTCTCCTGTACAATCTCCTCATCGCCTTCCATTCTTCGTCTCTGCCGCGCCATTTCGTCCCTCCCTCTCTTGCTCTCCCTTCCTTGCTCCTCATTTCTTGCTCGACAGCATCTCCACATAGATGGAGGCCGAGAAACTTCTCTACATGGAATGGTAGGGGTAGTCACCCCCACCCTTCAATTTCCACCTCCCGGGATGGATCACCCCAACGTGATCCCCAAGGATTGTCTAAAGCCTGTGGTAGGGTACTTTTGTTGGTCACCTCATTCCTGGTAGGGTTGATAGCATATGCGTATGGTAGGGTAGGCAGGTTACGTCTTTCTCTTAGGTATCACCCCCTATCCTCCCGGTTTCAAATTTGACACCCTCTACATGTGATCTTGTACCCGTTCATGAGACTCCAAAATGATCTTCTTATGACCGGTTCAATTATCACCCTACCAACCTAATTTGAGGATCTGACCACCCCCACCTCTAAAACCGACAAGGATCACAAGTTCACCCATCTTCCCGGTTACGCTAACTTGAAGAGCCTCATCGGGATCGGCCGCTGAGGCCGCCGCAGTTCGGTGGAAGGCAAGTTCGGAAGCCGCTGAGTTGCCCGGGCCGGGCCCTCTGGCAGGCGGAACTCCCCGGCCCGGCGGGGTACTGGTACAGTCACCGTAATCATTTTCACCCGCACATCAAGTCATGAATCCGGCCGGGCGATCGGATGCCAGATGAGTCGGATGCCGCTGAGCAGTGTGCCGCCGATCCCAAGTTGTTATTTGAAGTTTGGACTCCGGCCGACGGGAGTCGGAAGCCTCGGCCCGGAAGCACTCCGGTCCGATCAGTGGCAGCCGCTAAAGAACTCCAAGTCACGGTGATTTGATTTTGATGCAGCAAAATGATAATCAAAAATTTTGTTACCCCTGAAATTGATGATTGCCCGAGCAATACCTCTACTTTACTCAAAGTTAACTTAAAATCAGTATAAGTACAATCCCCGATCACTGTACCCCTGTATCCCTGGAGTACCCCTGTACCCCCTATTTCATCTGTGTAGTACCTCAAAACTAATAACAACTACCCCTACAGATTCCTTTTCTACCGTGTACCTCCCCAAGTACCCTACCCCCATCACCCTACCCCTATCTCCCCACCTAACAACACCGAGACTACCCCACCCCTTAGTAGGCCTCAGGGACTCCGGTATGTTTGTCCTGCGTACCTTGCTATGACCTCCCTAAGACACAGGGGAGTATTTCCCCCGTCTACCCCTGAGATCACGCCAGCTTCTGTGACTGGTACCCACCAGTTTCTCCAGCAAAAGGGCCCCCACCCACCCAGATCGAACATAAACTACCTGTTACCCGTCCATTAGACTGTAATATTACCGGTAGAGTATAACCCTACCGTGTGATTAACTTTCAGAGCTACAACTACCCTGACCCCTACCCCCCTATTCCCCACCCCAACCCCTCAATAGTTCAATCGCATCTGCTCGGTTTGCATTCCCCCTGTGCATGTTCCGGTGAACAAGCACGTCTCCTCCTCCTCCTCCTCCCCTTCCTCCTCCTCCTCCTCCTCCTCTTCCTCCTCCCCATCCTATTTCTCGCACGTTCTTCATTTCTCGCAGTCCCTCTCTTTCTAGTATCCCTTTCCCGATTTCCTTTCTCCTCCGCTTGTTCACCTCTTCCTTGCCTGGGGCCTGGGGACTCACATATTCTTCATTTCTGTCCTTGGCATCGCAGCTTTTGCGCCCTTCCCTCCCTCCCCTGCACACTCGAAACATCAGGAGAGTCAACAAGATCCTTGATTGGCGCCAAGTGCGTTGCATTTTCCTGTGTCCTGTTCTCAGGCGAGCCTTCATGCAATAGCCGGCCTGTTCGGGACTGCAGGAGCTACCTAGGATTGATTCGAAACACGTGCATCTCTGATCAAGAATGTCAAATGACAACCTAGATGGTTATCAACCAGACGATGGTACTGTTGCTGAGCACGATGACAAACCGGCAGAAAGCAAGGAAGGGATGGAACCAGAGGGGTTTCACTCGGGGCTGGGGTTGAGAAAGACTCTACGGCACCACCTCGACAACGCGATGAAGTTCTGGGATCACAGCGTCCATGACCTTGTGAACAAATTGCATCAGAACAAGGAGATGAACGTTGCTCAGAAAGCGCACGCCGTCGACCTGGAGCCAGGGGATGGGGTCAAGCAGGATGCCATGCCGGGCGATTCTCCCGCCAGTGCAGAATCAGGACATGACAGCGCGCATGGTGGTGAGACTGATCCCTCCCCCGAAGTTCATCTTGCCGGAGTTCCACAGAGGGAAGAGCACGCTGTTGACGAGGAGCTGGACCCTCCTCCAGTACCTCCCAGCAGCAACCCCTGGAGCCCGATCTCCCGCCCCATCTCCATGGCTTTGGATGCAGGCAAGCAGATGGGGAGGCGGCTGGCAGACGTGTGGGATGTGCATGACATCCTGGATGATCTCAAGGAGCAGAGAGACTACTGGAGGAGGAAGAGGGAGCAGAACAGGTTGATGGAGGAGATGTCCCTCAACACTGTCATGGAGAATCAGGGAGGCGCGAGTGAGAAGGACCAGGAGGCCCAGGGTGTGGACAACCAGGTCGACTTCTTCGACTTCCTCATCAAGTTGGACCGAGACATCACAGAGAGACCGCCTCCTGCTCAGGAATCCTCAGGGGTGGAGAAGGAGGAGGCTCCAACGACCAGCTGCACGCCCGGCGATGGGAAAGGAGGTTCACTCCAGGTCGAGATCTAAGTGCTTCACCAGTAGCTCTGCAGATTTTCTGTCGGCCTTCCGACTCTGCTCTTTCCTGGCACACTCGAGTTTCCCTCCCCCCCATTTTCGTGATGCTCATGGCGATTCGTTTTGTTTTTTAATCATGTTGTTGAGCTTTTCATCGTTGAACCTTTCCTCCCTCTAGCTCCTTGAAGTATTGTTTATACAAGGGTTTTTGCCATCACAAATAAAGAACAGTCCCCATCCCTTGATCGAGACACTCCCTATCTCGCCGTGAAACGCATCTCATCTTACGTAAGGCGCAATCTGAGCGTGCAAGGTCAAGCCTGCATGAGAAGGAGAGGAGAGGAAGGAATTTCACCATGGACTCGCTCAGACGCCACAGACTCGACTGCAGCTCTTCTGACTTCGCCAGTTCGCTCGTTGGCGCTTCCTTGCACGCTGACACGACAGGTGAGGGATGGAGCAGGTGCAGGCAAATTAGCGAACCTGCGTAGTAATTGCCTCCTATTCCTTCCAGCTGGCACGAGAGTCAAGGATGGACGAGGATGGGGGCAGCATGCGGCACCTCCTCAGCAGTTGCCACGTACTCGATGCAGGTAGCGCCCTGCTCCAATGTGGCTATGAACTGGAGGGATAAGCAGTGAGTGAACTGGGGAGAGCTGAGAATCATACGCTCAAGGAGAGCAGTAGCAGATGGGATGAGTCATGGCAAGAGCGAGAGCGAGAGAAGGGCAAGGGCAAGGGCAGAGCAATACAGAGATGCCAAGGATGTTGAGGTGGGGGAAAACAAACTAGATGGAACTTGAACAAAAAGGAAGGAGCACAGGTAAACAAAGAAAGTTGGTGCATTAAGAAACTTACCTTGAAGGGGAGAATTGCCATCACATACTTCCTGTGATGGTTTGAGTGGTAAGATATGAAGCAAGACACAAGCACACACATGAAGAAAATTCCAAAAAGTCCTTGATTTCTGCTGAGTCCAGTGTTCGGAATGAAGCCAGGGCTGAGAGCGTTGCACGTCACTCTCCTGTCCTTGAGCCTGGCGGAGATGAGACCAATCATCCAAAACCTTATCCATGCCAAATCGAGCTTGCCTTCGATTGAGCTCAAATGCAAAGAGAATGTTTGCAAGTTTCGAGCTCTGGAGGTCTTTCTTAGTACCTCCCCACTTTCGATCCTTTAGCAAACCACCTTGTAGAGAACCATTCCGTTGGGGTTATCGCTCCAGCTCTTGCGTAGCTCATCCAGGGATGAAGTCTTGAGATCGGGCTGCAGGGAAAGGAATGCAGCAATCATGCGCAAGTAAGGACAGCCGGGCCCAACAGGTCGAGCTTACTTGCAGTGTACCCTTGCCCCTCCCCTGGTGCAATGAGGATGAGACGACGACGACGCGTGAGGGAGCAGACGACTGCAGGCATCCTGTCACCCGTGCCAGCAAGTAGCCTCCTCAACCTCTAGGTTGGACATCAACAACTTGGTGAGCAGGAAGTGGCTCAGGTGGTTGGTCTGGAACGCTACCTGCGACAAGCAGACGACGTGAGGACCGGCGCAGCAGCGATTGACGCCTTTGCCTCGAAGCCATCCACCGTCATCGTCGGTTGGGTCTGACGCGTTGTCGGGCACATGCCTGCATTGAGGACGAGCAGGTGCAGGGGAAGGGACTTCCTCTGTGGCAGGGAACGTTAGGAAGCGAGTGCTCTTTCCGCACCAGCCTCCAACCTTGAAAGCCTCGGCGAAGCGAGCAACAGATGCCAGGCTACCGAGGTCACATTCAAGCACCTCGACAGTATCCTGCTGATCGCTGGAGGGCGCAAGCTTCTGCTCAAGTAGTCGTCATACTCTTGACGCTGCCCACTACACGAGGAGCAGGACCTTGAGCTCCCTGACGACTCTCTCGCCTGCAGCAAGGTCCCTCGCTGCCAATATCACGCGATAGCCCTTGGACACAAGCTTCTCGCACGCTAATCTTCCAACGCCGCTTGTTCCTCCTGTGACAACAGCAACCTACTCCACAACGCCATTCGCAGATCAGGTACTGAGGACATGCACGAGCTTCTCTCAACTCGTCGAAAAAACTTCTTCTAACCTTCACACCAGCAAAATGACTAGTACGAACCTCAAATACCATGCCCTTGGCGCTGCCTACATCTCACTCCGCTGCTTGCCCGCATTTCGATCCCCCGACAAACCCCCTTGCAAGGGCCCCAGCCTGCTTCCTCGCTCCTCTTCCTCACCTTGCCACTCATCCTGTTCGCCTTGACTCTCTTTCTCGTCACTTCCTTGGCTATCCTTCGGCCGTTGAGCGCTATCAACGCGGCGGCGACGGCAGCAGCGGCGGCTCCGAGGAGGCGGAGCAGTCCCATGAAGGCGCAGCGCACCAAGCTCCCCTCGGAACTATCACCCCACCCCGTAGGACATGGGCTGTTCACCCCACCCCACGGAGAGATAGCTCATCCACCACCCCGTTAGGCCCACCAAACCCACCCTGAAGTGTTGTAACCCCTCCATCCCCATCCCCACCCCCACCCCCAAACTCCCCTTTTTCCTTTACATCGATTTGAAATCACCCTGACAAAACCACCACTACCCCACTTTTTCCACATAAATCCAAACTCGCTCCACCCCACCCTTGGTTCGTTTTCAAAAATCGAAGTTTGACCACCCCACCTTAAGATAATGAATTTACACACCCCTGGTTGTCCATCTCTCAAAAGTACCTACCCCCTACAAATACCACTACCCTGCGCATGATCAGCTTCATGGGGGGTTCTCTCTACCCCTACCCCCAGGTCAGTTGCACCTCTTTGACCTTATGGAGTTGAGAATCAAGGGTAGGTACTATCACCTACCCCATCTTTTACCAGCACATCGTGCTGTAGGGCTTTAGGGTCGCCTATGCCCTCCCACATAGGAACTTTCTTAGGAAATACCACCTTCACCCTCTCATCTCCTACTACCTACCCACCCCATATAATGGACATGCCTTATCCCCTATTTTCCCCTATAGGTACCCCCCTTTTGATCTCTGTGGGTGGACTATGAAGTACCCCCACCCCGTTGTTTCCAGACCCCTACCCCCAGTCCGTCCTCCTCCTCCTTTGCTTCCCTGCCGCTCTCATGCGATCCTCGTCCTGCAAGTTGTGCTGACCCTTCCCGCCTGCTCTTCTTCCACCTTCCACTCCCATCAGACACAGCCCCCGTGCCAATCTCCCTTTCCTTCCTCCACCCCTTCCTTTAGCTCCTCCTTTCGCCATCGATTGACTCTGCTTCCTTTGCTCTACCCCTCCAGTTTGGTCCGTCCATTCCCATCGCCTTGAAGCCTCCTAGTCGCGTTACTATCAAGCTTGCAAATCTCTTCTGCCTAGCCAGTATTCTACATCAGCTCAGTGTTTTGAAATCCTCTTTGTCCTGCTTGGGAGGACTTGTTTTCTTACAGTCATTTGATCAATCCCCGTCTAGCGGTCGAAGACAGGCTCTTGTTTTCTGCTGATTTCTGCCAACCTTCCTTTCATCAACCCTTGATTACAGTCCATCTGCATTCCTTTCAAGTTGAACCTAGCCGCTACTCTTTGATTCTCCCTTTCAACCCGCATTGAGGGATCGAACGCAGCAGCTCTTCGCAGGAGGACGAGGACTCAACCCAGCCTAATCTTTCAAGCCCGATCGTTCGAGATGGCCAACCTCCCCCCCCCGGCCTTGAAACGCAACAACAGTGGCGGCTTCGAGCAGAGGATCGCCCGAGGACCTGACGGTGAGTCCCCGCTGTGGTGTGGTTTGACAGCAGTTGTTGACATGCCGGACCATGATGCATCTGATAAGAGTTCCTTACCAGATTCCAAGGGCTTCAGAGGTGCGGGAAGGGGCTCGGGTCCCATTCCCAAGAGTGCAGGCTTAGCGGCACTGAGCGCTGGACCCCCGGTTCCAACACCTAGCACCCCTGTTGCAGCTGCACAGGAGACACCTGCGGTGGTGATCCAAAGCTTTGTTACAGGGAGAGGTCGTTGACGCTGCTCTTTCCTAGGATACTTCGAGGGAGTCAGCTATCGCTGCCGCCCGTGCCAAGGCAGCCGAGGATGCGATACGAAAGCAGAAACAGCTGGATGCTGCTGCGCGTGTGCAGAATTCCCAAGCGATCATTCCTACTTTACCGGTTTCCAACAGTTCAAGCCAAAGAAAGCTGATTGAGGCAGCAATGGAAGAAGCTGCGAGGAAGAAGAAGCAACTTGAGATGGCTGCTCGCAACCAAGCTGCTCCCACTCTTGAATCGGATCAAGACAGCAGGATGAAAGATAGGATCCTAGACCCCCAGTCCGGAGACAAGGGGCAGTTTGACAACGTGAAGCCAGATCCTTCAAGTATGCACAAACAGCTTCTTATGCAGGCTGCAGAGGATGCAAAGCGCAAGCAAAGACAGTTAGAGGCGGCAGCTAAAGCTCAGACATACTCAGCACCGATTTCATCGAATACCAATCTCGTTTCTAATCAGCAAGTGGCATCGGATCCTCAAATCATCAGCAGTTCAGATTATGATCCTTATGCCGAAAAGCAGGCAAAGGAGAAGTCCGCTGCTCAAAGAAAGCGTGAAGAAGCTATGGAAGAAGCTCAGAGAAAGCAAAGGCAGCTCGAGGCAGCTGCTCTTGCCCAGTCCATCTTACCCTCGTCCAAGAATCTTGTGCTACAAAAGACTTTTGAAGCAGAAGAAATGGCTAGAAGACAAAGACATCTGGAAGAGGCCGCAGAGCTGGCTGCGCGCAGGCAACGGCAGTTGGCAGCCGCAGCACATGCGCAGGACTCGCTTTTGCCAGGAAGTCTTTCGAGAGAATCTTCTATGACGAAGAATGACATGGTAATGAAACCAGCACCTGTTCCAGAGAAAAATGCGTGGGCAACAAACAAACCTTTGGCAAACTCCAACGTTGCACAACCACCACCGAATGCCTGGGGTGTGAATACGAACGCGGTGGTCCAAGGAAGGGATGCGGCTGTTCCTCGAGATCAGCCTGGTTGAAATTGTTATCATCTTTGGTCTTTGCATCTGACTTGTTTTCAGGAGTGTCATGGAGCAAAGTTGCTGCAGGTCACAACCCTAACGGGTCGATCTTGAACACAGATGGTCCGGGTGTTCTGGACACCTCGGAAGATACTGAGGAAGTCTTCTGCTATGGCTCTAACGGTGTAGATCAAGGAGGTGGAGATGATGGTGTACCGCAGTCCTGGGAAGATTCCATTCCGCAACCAGAGCCTGTGCGGGAGTCGGCCTGGAAGAAACCCCTCAAGATTCTCGGAGTAGAAACGGGTCGACCAAATGAGGAGTCAATCTTGGGTGTGAATGGGGAGGATTTCAAGCAGCAGCAGGCTGCTCTTGACTTCGCCACTGGTTTCGGACAAGTCAGTGGATGTGACGACCTGATGCCTTTCGAGCTCACCTGTGATTTGGACGGGCCGGGGGACAAAGAGAGAAATTCGGGTAGGCCCGAAAACCCAAGTGGGTCAAGTGCTCTGTCGGAGGATGAAGGCGATTCGCAATCGCCATCGATTGCATTGAAGATGCTGCTGGGAATCGGACAGGAGACTGCAGAGATTCCAGTCCAGAATCTGGACCGTAAGCTGCCAGTGTGGGGAAAACCTGGTATGAGGATGGACATAACTCTGGATCCGGCAGTGGCACAGATATCTGCAGAAAGGCCTGATGGGATGCCAGCAAATTCTGCATGGCATGGAGATGGCCATACCCCAGTCTCTCAGCTCCAAACAAGTTTCCAGAACCTCGGAAAACCGACAGAAAACGATTATGGATTGTCGCAGCATTCTTCTTCAGGCTTCTTTGGTAGCCGACAAGACATGGGCTTGGGTGCTAGTGAGCTGCATACCCCCTTCTCGGGAACTCGCCAGGTGAGGCACGCCTCCAGGTAGAGCGGCACTGAAGTTTGTGTGGTGCAGGATATGTATAGTATGCCTTCAACTGGCTCAGCTTCATCGGATACAATCAGCTGGCTCAGCAATCAGAACCAGAATGTTGACTGGTTCTCTAATGTGGCTCCGCAGAGGCCATCCTTCTCGTTCCAGGACAACTACAACCAGCAGATGGAGACAAGATCATCTGCAGCAAATGCCGCGCCAGGAAGTTTCGGATCCTATCCCTCCAACACGGGGATGAACGGATTTGACTTTCATCAAGGCTCGATGCTTGGAAATTCCACCAGCACTTTCAACTCCGACCCGTTCTCGTCTTCACAAAGGATGGGGTATGGCCTTGGGCAGGTGGAACACAGTGGCTTTCAGACCTTTGCGCAGTCTGATGCGCGGTCATCGCGCGCAAATGGGGTAACGACCTCCTTGTAGAGTTGATGTGGTGCTGATGCAACTTGCAGGACTCCTTCCTGTCGGCGCCTTCGAGCTTCATCGTTCCATCTGCTCATCAGCCAACTGGCATGCAAGGAGGCTCCAATCAGCGTGGACCTTGGGATCAGCAGCCGGCCGGTTACGGGTACTCGTCTGGCTTCTCATCGGGGGGAGCTGGCAACCTAGGAGGGGCACAGGCGGGGTATGACCGGGGCTACATGCCCTCCAACATGCTGCCAGGGGAGATGAACTCGAGGCAGTACGGCGGGGAGCGGCTAGATCAGCATGGGAGCAGTCAGAACGTCCTCCGGCTGTTCGGCATGGCGGGGGGTACAGCAGATCTGAGGGACGAAGAGCCGAATCTGTCGGGACTGGCGATCGGGGATGAGCATCTACTGAAGCCAGAGGCCTTCACGCGCTTCCAGGAGCCGAGCGGGCACGGGGGGCTGTGGGGACAGGGAGGGCCGCACGGAGACAACAACTTCAACTTTTCAAAGTTTTTCGGGGGCCTGGCGGGTAACGGAGAAGTCCAGCCGATGCCTTCAATCCCTCCAAGCACAGGGATGATGTCTCTAGCAGGTCTGCCTCCTCCTTCCTCCTTCCTCCTTCCTCCTTCCTCCTGTCTCCTTCGCTCGCTTCCTCCTCTCCTTCCTGTACCTCTGCATCCTTCCCGATTTCACGTCTGACAAAGATTTTGTTGCAGAGATTGAAGGCAAGCAATTCAGAACCTGATGTCGTGTTCACGAAAAGAACGAAAGGCTTAAAAGGGGGCGAGGGCATGCTGTCATTTCCTGGAGAAGACTGCTTTTCTTTCTAGGAAGTTTCGAACGAAAGCTATTATTCTTTACAGGGACCTCATCGCATCTCGCATCTTCCGCCCTGCTTGCTGTGCTCTTTGGCCGTCGCTCAGCACGAGCAACGTATGAGACTGCTATTATCTCGCACATGACTGTCTAGCTCAGCTGCTCTTGCGATCTCTTCTCATCGTTTCCTTCATGTAGAGCTGGGTGCAGTACCTCCAACCCACACCCTTGAATCTGCCATTCACCATGATCCGAAATTCTTAGAGTATATAAGAACAACATTCTCCCTCCCTGCCCTGCCCTGCCCTGCCCTGCCCTGCCCTGCCCTGCCCTGCCCTGCCCTGCCCTGCCCTGCCCTGCCCTGCCCTGCCCTGCCCTGCCCTGCCCTGCCCTGCCATCTCCCTTCTCCCTTCTCCCTTCTCCCTTCTCCCTCTTCCCTTCTCCCTTCTCTCCATCTCCTTTCCTGGCTGACTCCCACGACTATGGCGCCATCATACTTTGTGTTCTTCTGTCATTCATATATCCTCAAACTTGCACTTTTCGCATCGAAACCTGAGGGCATCACAGCCCCCACACCGATGGTCTAGTGGTAGAATACGCCCCTGCCACGGGCGAGACCCGGGTTCGATTCCCGGTCGGTGTACCCGACTGTACAATAGCTTTTTGTCTCATGGTTGTTGCCAAGTTGTCTGCCCTGCCGGGGAACGGTTTTCCAAGTTCCGGTTGAAGTTCTGTTCATTTTTTTTTACTAGGGCCATCCGACCGTATGCGGAAAGGCTTGAGTTGCCGCTGCGCCGCGCCAGTCACTGCCTTCCCCGGTCCTGTACATGTTTCCGACCGCAGGATTGCCGACACAGAGCAGACTCGGCGCCGATGGTCCAAACTCACGGAGGCTCAGATCGAATCCGATCGGATCTGGCCAGTGAGTCTCTGGCACTGTTTGTCTAACTTGCTTAGTAACACTGATCTGCATGTACTACTGGCAAATTGCGATTGGCCAATCGGATTGCTTCCGAAGTTCAACGCCGCCGCGCCCGGCGGCGGCCGGGGGTGGACCGGTGACACCAGGCTGAGCGGCCGGGCGGCTTACGGCGTACTAAGTTAGTACGCCGGGTAGTACAGGCTTGAACTCCACACTGCCCAATCATGCAGACTCGCAGATCAGCTCCATCATCTGTCTGGCAGCTGTCTGGCATCGTTGGAGGCTCTCCAATAGGCTACCCGGTGCTCAGCTAGGCTACGTCCAAGGGGCGTCCGGTATGAGTCCAGGATGTGACACTGACGGAAAGGCTCTACTAGTGACAAACCTTGAACCGTGACCAAAGGATGAGGCGAATATGAATGTTTTCATGGTTTTGTATCAAATAAAAGAAGAGAGAGAAGAAAATCTATTCAATCATGTACGTTACTTGCTTGAATGCTCGCCAATGTACCTATTGTACACGCGGCGACAACAGCATCGTGATTCAACCTCTACGAAATCGAAATCGCCTTCCAGTATCATGGATGATTGTAACTTCTTGCTCCTGGGAATCATGATTTCATTTTGATCATTTTCTCCAAAGTCTTCAACATCAGCTTCGTTTTTTGGTTGCCTCTCGTTGCTCGTTTGTTCCAACGCATCCCACTCTTCTTCGCTCTCAAAATCATCGTAGCCTGTAGCAACCCTAGTGATGTATTGAGCAATATCGAAGAGCTTGTCCTTCTCAGACATCTTCATTGGGCTAAATTCATCAAAGTTTTGCATTACGCTTGCCTTCATCTTGTTCTGTTTTTTCTTGAATAATTGGAATTTCAATCTAGCTGTTCCTCGATATCAGTTTCAAGATTTGTTTCAAATACGGGGGTGTGCTTTCGCGCTTCGCTGATATTTGTCTTGTTGGCGCTTTGCTGCAATCGATCTTGTCGACAATGCTTGGTTTGCTGATAGCTTGTGTGCTGTTCTGGCGTTTGCCTCCTTCCTCCTCCTCTTGTAGAAGTCGAGCGGGGGGAATTAGGAGGTTGCATTTGAAACGTTGTGCTTGTACTAAGTCCTTTGATCCTGGTTGCAAAACAGACACGAAATTGAGTCTTTTTGTCAAATCAAAAACCGCGAAAAACTTCACTTTCGAGAAAATTTCTCCTTTGCCTCTTTACTACAGAGCTCACTCCTACTGTGTACCTATCGAATAGACCTGACCCCCTACTTCCTCGATGTCTAACTAACGGCCCCCTCGGGTATGGTGAATATTTATGTACCCCCACCTACCCCAATGATAACCCCCACCACCGCAATCTTCCCAAATGACCCACTCCTTCATTGCTCGTATTTACCCTTCCCCTCTTCTAAGGAGTCATTCTTTGGAGATACCCCTACATCGATAAACCCCCACCCCGTCAACCAACCTTATCACTCGCACGAGACAAACGGTATCTCTGAGCCCCGTGACTTCCTATAGTGAAGGTACCGTGACTTCTTTGATCCTGTCTTTCACCATTTACTCCTCTAACCCGAAAATACCTCTTTTCCGTTCCCCGATCACGATACTTTTCGCACGAGCCTGTGGTACTCCACTGCCTCGACCTCCCTTTACCCCTCAAACCTCTCGAGTTTAAGAGTTTGCGATGTACCCCCAACCTTTACCAACCCCTTTACTACTTATATGTTAGTAAGACCGGTAAAACAGTTTTAGTAAAATAATAATAATAATTACCGCAATATTTGCTTTACCTCCTGACGGATTTATCACCGTCTGAGTTGAAAAGTACGGTCCGAGGGCCGCCGGGGCCCGGCGGCTGCTCCCGGCGAGCACTGACGGCGCGGCCACCGCCGGGCTCCGATCCCGGATCGGAAAAAGATGGTATATCTCAACCCTGCAGGGTCCCCCGACCCTCCCTCTTGATCATAACCCCTAGTAGAATCATATAGAACCGTAGTACCCGTCAGATACAGTTTGGCTCATGCTAGAAAAGGCACCACAGATCTAGCAAAGGTGTCACAATTGAGGGTGGGGTACACTACCCTACCTATAAATAAACCAGCAAATTGAATGAAAAGGACCCGTGACATGGACCACTTTTCTTGTGAGTTGATTCATCTGTGCCCACCCTTGTCACCCCCATTTTTCCACAGAAATACCCCACCCCAACAACAAACCCAATCTATGGTTGGGTTCTCTGGCAGGCATAGGGCAACTCACAGTATGGAGACAGCACCCATGGCCCTTGCATGCGCTCTCTTGATGATTCAGATCCTCCCCTCTCGCGGCTTCATTGCTCCTCTTCGCTTACCGTCAGCGCTCGTCCACCAGGGACCGGAAACACGACAGGTAACCCACCCATTCGTTATCGTGGCATGTTTTTCCTCTGGCCACGGCTTGTCCTGAGCTCAAAGTCGATTGCCTTTCCGTCATTATTTCTTACATGAAGCGACTAGCTGAATCTGACCGTGTGTGCGATTGTAGATTTCACTCAGGAACGGGGCGTCATGTCAAATACCAAGGGGGCGAGTAGGAACAGATGTTGTGACATCAAGAGTGATGAACCGGGACGTGAAACCTGAAGTTGTAGAAGAATCGGAGGAAGAAATTGATTCCCATTTCCTGAAGCAATCCATCATAGTGGATGCGAGCATCGATGAGTGCTACGGAGCTGCAGCTGATCTTGACGACTATGCCACATGGTGTAGGAAAGGCGGCATGAAGAAAGTAAAGGTGCTGGATCGCAATGATGATGGGATGTGCAGCAAAGTTGAGGTGAGTTTTGTTTGGTTTCCAATCAGCGATCGTTGTTCTCTTTGTGTTGACATGGCGGTTGTCAGTTCACGGCCGGCAAACTTGGCATCGATATGGTTAACGTAGTTGAATACTCATACGAAGCACCTCGTCTCGTCAAGTTTCATTCGATCTCAGGAGATATCATGAAGACACTGGACGGATGCTTCCGGTACTTTTCTTCTCCTGCCCTCTCTTCTTTCCCCTCCCCCTCCTGATATTCTGGGCAGGTTCGAGACTTTGGGAGGAGGCGACACCAAGATGACGTACGAGCTGCTGCTCGAGTTTGGGTTCGTCATCCCCGAATTTGCGAGGAAGCAGATTGTTGGGGCCATCATGCAGACAGCCCTTGAAAGCTTGAAGGATCACATCGAGAAGAAGAAGCGTTGACGAGATTAAAAGTCCGCAAACGATCCATCCTCGGAGTGCGGCTTTGCACTTCGTAGGGGCGAACGCTCGCCAACGCTCCTGGCTCATTTCTGAACCTATGTGCAAGCACGCGATGATTCAGTGGTCCTCTCTGCGGATAGCAAGTTACCTCAGAGTCGAAGCACTTGCGCCACATGTCATAGAGGGGCCCGCATCTCTCCTTGCGCAGCTGCCTCAAGGTCAGCCCGGGCTCTCTGCCAAGTTGACATTGTTTCACCTTCTCGTCAACATACAGGTTCTTCTTCAGACAGTCTGCATGTCTGCACGAGAGGGTCTGGCATACTGCATACGCTCTCCGCTCCGCCTCAGAAAGCCCATCGTCACCCTGCATGAGATCGTTAACTCAGCTCAGTGAAATGATCACCCTGTCTTGGCTTTGGGTAGGAATAATCGGGTGCCAAGCGCGATGCCGTCTCATGAATCCTTGTTTTCTCACCTTGTATGTGGGCATGAAAGTTGAGGGGTCGGCGGGAAAGTTCAGTTGTGTCCTTGAAGTCAAGGAAGGAAGGAAGATTTCCTGTCGAGGATGGAGACGTTGATGAGGTGGATTCTTGGTTACGTAGAGGGCTGCGTCGGTAGCGAAAGAGACAGGTTGAAGCTGGTTGCCTGATGTAGGTGGAGGATAGAGGCAAGCTGACGAAGGAGTAGCGCTGACATGCGAACCAGGCGGTAGAGGAAGACGAATATGTTGAGCTGTCTTATGAGTCAACTAAAGAGATATTTGAGGCGAGCTCACTTTGGTCAAGAGACTAAAAATGTTTGTGCTGCCCCGGCGGGAGCAGAATATAGGAACGAGAGTCGAGGGAACCACAACTTGTGGGGATGCAGAGAGTAAGAGGAGAGGATAGTAACAGGGAGGAGGGGAGAAGGACCACTCTGTGAAAGGGAGGCAGAGTATCGCTTGCTTGCTTTTCTTGATTAGTAGCTCCAAAACATGTGGATGTGCCGGGGGTTGTGTACATTTCATACTTTACATGCCATGGGGCGGCGCGACGGCTCGCCATGGTCAATTGCTCGAAGAAAGGAGTCAGGTGCCTGCTTTTAGGCCAAGAAGGCGATGGAAAAGGCGTCTCGGTCCTGGGAGGCAGAGAATATCAGCAGGAGGCTAAAGGCTGTTCATCCACCCACCGAGAGGAAGAGGGCATGGCCGCTCGGAGACCACTCGATCTCTTGCACCACAAAGTCGTTGAGTGGCACCTGCGCCATGGGGTGATGAGGGAACCCAAGGATGCTCATCCAATCTCCACCTGTATACAGGAAGCGCCGTCCCTAGACCACGAGTAGATCGTCTTTCCGCCAGTGCATACCGCCTACAGCACGGAGTGAGCAAAAACCTGTGTAGCGATTGAGAGCCTGACGAGTTTGCACTCCTTGGGATGCCACCTGAACGCCTTGATGGGGGCCAACTTGAACACTGTCAGTCGAGCAAGCAGAAGAGATCAGAAGGAAAGGAAGGTACCTGGACAATCACCGAGAACAACTCGAGCTTCAGAGCGTCCCAGATGAAGAGGGCGTTGGGCATGTTGTCTGCCCGAGTACAAAGAAGACTGCTATCACAACTCCACTGCAACAGCAATACGCAAGTCACACTGGGGTTGCAGAAATGGCTGCATGCGAAAAGCTGGTCCAAACTTACATTCAGAAGGCCGATTCCCATCTTCGGGTTTGCTTTTTCAGGGTTGCACTTGACCGAAGGAATTCTGACCTTGGAATTGATTTCGTCGAGGAGCTTGTATGTGCTTTTCGAAACAGCATGAGCCGCATGATCGCCAAGAGTGGGCTGATCGATGGTTCCTGTGTCGAGTATTCAGCGTAGATGGTTTGCAATCAAGAGCGACTACCGCTAAGATCTGACTCCAGGTACACCAGAGCCTGCTTGTGTGAGACTTCCTGCTCATGCTCATAATCCCGTATGGGTCTCCAGCTGGCAGAAGAATGTGAGATTGCGAAGGACATGTGCAAGCTGCAGGCACACGTGAGCTGGTTCAGGATCCTGGTTTTGCAATCATAGCTCCCGATCGCTACAAACTGTGACGACGGCGCCCATGATACATTCTTGATCCCTAGCGCATCTGTGTAGGCCTTTATTGCAGTGAGATGTTGCTGAATTTCCCAGCGCACAAACAGTCTGAAGTTCAACACCTGATATCTCCCCAGCATTCGACCTTCAGGCGAATATCTGCAGCGGCGGTCAACTCATCGCTCCGGAAGGCCGTGCAAAGCTCACGCAAAGAAAGCATACTCCAGAGTCGTGTCCCACACTCCAATCACCTGCAAGCACAGGTTGAGCGATGAGGAGACTGAAGGAGGTGCAAAGCTATTCACCCTGTCATCCGGAGACCACCTGCATTTCGGTCATTCACATCACATTGAAGATCAAGTCGGGTCTCACCGTATGTCTGCCAAGTCCTTCGATTCAACTTGAAAGCGATGGATTGGATTCCAAGTTCCCGTTCTATAGATCTGAATAAAGTCCTTGCAGTCCTTTCTCTCGGCAACCTGCGCAAGGTAGGATTGTCAGTTTCTTCATCGCCCCCCTCCCCACCGCTTTGACTGCAATCACCGCAAAGAACTTCTTGTCTCCTGCTCAACACGAGAGGGGAGAGTGAGTCAGCCACTGTCATTCTCAAAACGAGATAGACACTCACTGCTGAAATCCATGGCCTTCTCCGCGAACTTCGGCGACCTCAGGGAAGCGACAACCCCTGCTCCGCTGGAAAGAGACCAGACGGTGATCCTGACGTTGAACTCGTTCGTGTTGAGAATCTGCCTCTCCCCTGGCACCCATTGACTGAAGGACAGGCCTGCTGGTCCCTCTCGGATCTTACACAACCACTCAGGGTGGTCGACGTCCCAAACCTGCACCGTCCCGCACTTGTACATGGCGCCTGGCAGGCCATGAGTCAGCAAGGACGCTCACGCGCGTTAAGATGATTCTCACATAGGATATAGCGGTTATCTGTGGACCATTCGATCTTGGAGACGGTCTCGAGGTTGCTGAAGATGTTGATAATCATCAGAGATGCGGTGTCTCGCACAAACAGGCGGTTGCCCGAGCACGTCGCGACCATGGAACCGTCAGGAGACCACCTGTACGGCCCACTAACTTCGAAGGAGTTCGAGAACTCCATTGAGGCTTCAATGCACGACGAGAGGCGTCAAGGTCAATGCAGAGGACGAGGGGAAGCGGGAGACTGCGGTCGGGGCTCACGAGGTCACCGTGGTTGGGATTTGTGGGCTGGAGGGGAGGACGAGGAAACGTCCGACTGAGGAGGAAGCGAAAATGGCGGGAAAGAATACTTGGCCCCCTCTTCCCCCCACAGCTCCAATCGGTGCCGTTGCAAACCCGTTAGAACCCCACCATTCCCCACCCCGACCAAAATTTCACGTGCGCAATGGTAGCAGACGAAAGGTTCAAGGGGCAGGTGGAGGACCCGCGGTTCAGGCTGGTGCCCAAGAAGAAGAGGAAGGTGAAGATTGATGAGAGGTTCAAGTCGCTGCTGGATGAGAACAGCTCCTTCTCGAGGAAGACGGTGATAGACAAGTACGGTAGGAAGGTCAAGCACGAAAGCAAGGAAGACCTGAAGAGGTTCTATCACATGGACGAGGAGGACGAGGAGGGGGAGGAGCGGGGAGATTCTGATGGCGAGAATGCTGGAAAGGCTGTGCAAGAGAAGAAAGGAGGAAAGAAGGTGCTCAAAGGAGAGAAGGGGAAGGAGATGAAGAAAGACTTGAAACCCAAGGGAGACAAGGACAAGAAGTCCGACAAGGCAACCAAGGGCAAGACGAGTGAGAATGTTTCAGCAAAACTGCAGCACAAAGATCTGAGAGAGGCCATGCTTGATTGGACTGAATCGTCGTCGGAGGACGAGGACGAGGAGGAGGACAACTTCGGAGTAGACGAGAAGCTGTTCAGCGAGGCCATCGATGTTTCCCAGCCCGTGCTTCCAGTCACAGAGACGATCCAAGCAGGAGAGGAGACGAGGAGATTGGCGGTCGTGAACCTGGACTGGAAACGAGTGAAGGCTGTCGACCTCCTTGTGCTGCTGAGGTCGTTTGCCCCTTCCAACGGGGAGGTGACCTCTGTCAAAATTTACCCGAGCGAGTTCGGCAAGGAGAGGATGGAGAAGGTGAGGGGGAGCAATTGAACTGAGAGTGCGTGACGAGGGAGCTCGCAGGAGAAGCATGAGGGTCCAGCGCAGTACCTGGGGATAAAATCGGAGGACCAGGGTGCGGGCGAGGGGTGCTGCCTCGTCTGAATCAGTGATCTTTCTTGTCTACAGATGATTCAGAGGACGACAATGGCGGAGGAGATGAGGAGGAGGTCGATATGGTGAAGCTGAGGAGGTGCTGTTGCACGCTCAGACCCGATCGGGAGATGCTGATCAGCCTGCCAGGTATGAGGCGGAGAAACTCAAGTACTTCTATGCCGTGGTGGAATGTGACAGGTGGGTTTGCACAGCTCCATCTCTTGTTCCTGTCAACTCTTGTTCTGCCTTTTTGGTTTTGTTCTCCTTCCCTTCCCGCGCTCCCCCCCTCGCTCGCTCGCTCGCTCGCTCCCGCCCTCCCTCTCCCTACATTCTGCTTCCTCTGCCTCCTCGTTGTTCTCCTCGCACCTCACCTTGACTTCCTTTCTAACCTTGCCCGGGCAGCGCCCGCACGGCCAAGTGCATCTACGCCATGTGCGATGGCGTCGAGTACGAGGCCTCTGCCAACGTGATCGACCTGAGGTGAAGGCGCGGGGAGGGAGGAGGCGGCTGAAGGTAGGCAGGTACATCCCGGATGAAGAAGAGTTTGAGGAGAGCGAAGTCCATGCTGTGGCTACGAGCGTAAGTGGCGCAAGGACAATGGTGAAAGGGCTGACATCGACTGCCCCCCAGGTCCCCAGCGATTACGTCAGCCCCTTCTTCATTAACAACGCCATGGGACATACGAAAGTCAAGGTGGGTGAGGCAGCTGTGAGAGAGGATGGGAAGAGGAGGGGAGGAAAGGGAAGGAGACGGGGAGGGGGAGGAGGGGGGTGCGTGGGGTGGAACGAGAGGTGAAGGGGAGGGGGGAGGATGCAGTGGGAGGAGGTGGAGGATGTAATGGTTGATGCAGCTCTCATGGGACGAAGACGATCCCAGCAGAGACGTGCTGCACGGGAAGGGGCTTCCGGGCGGGAAGAAGAAGAAGAAGGGGAAGAAGGAGAAGGAGATGCAGGTACTCGGCGAAGAAGGAGGCACTGTTCTTGTTTGTTCTCATGCTCTTGAAGATGATCGACTACTCTCAATTCATCGCCACGTCTGACGAGGAGGAGGACGAGGAGGAGGTTGTCCTCCGCATCTTCCTGCTGCTCTTCTGATGCCTTGAAAGAATCAGAGGAGGGAGAAGGCAAGGGAGGCGCTTCTGGGTGCAGCGAAATCAAGCGCGTCCGTGTTTGGGTGAGGGGAGGAGAGGGGGAGGGGGAGGGGGCCAGGTAGGAAGGAGAAAGGGGAGTGCGGAATGGACCGTGGAGGGCGGGCCGGTGGGCACGGGGGTCGAGGTGGGGGGATGAAAAGGAGGAAGGACGGAGGCAAAGTAGAAAGGGCCAGAGAGGAAGCTGGAAGGAGCTGTTGTAGGTGTCTGTTGACCACTGCATGCAGAAAGCAAGGGGACGAGAAGGCGACCGAGGATGTTGTGGTTACGTTCACACCTGGTAAGGATGAAGAGCCGGGAGGAGCAGGAGGGAAGGGAGAGAGAGTGGAGAGAGGGGCGCGCAGTATGGATGGGAGGAGGAGAGGAATGGAGGTAGTTGAAGTCAAGGACTGACTTTCACATGCAAGGTTTGTCATCCATCGGGGATCAGCTGCTGAGGAACAAGGTGGAGAAAGCGTGGGGGGTGGAGAGAAGGGCGGGAGAAGACATGGGGGAAAGGGAAGCGGGAAGAA